TGCCTCGCCCGGGAAGAGCACAATGATGGTGCCAACTTGGGCCAGTGAAGCAACGTCCTCCACAACTAGACTGAAGAACCAAAGGACAGCAACTTATCTGTTCCCCTTCCCCCAATTCCCAATTAAAAAAAAAAAAATCTTAAAAAAGAAAAGAAAAACACCACCAATGCTCATATCTTTGAGGCGGATACAATGTTCTTTAAAGTAAATGTATTAAACCGTGGGAAAAAAAAGTTGGGTTGAAAATCTAAATAAACATTTTACCAAAAATCTGAAACTAAACTCTGTCTTTTGGCTCTACTCTGTCCTTTATTCACAGTCCTTTCCTGCCCAAACTCAGGTTGCTAAGAAGGCAGCAGGCTTACTGTGAAAGTGGTAAAACCAAACACAATGCATTATACCAAATGTATCATCTATCTACTCTGCCCTGAGAATCAAAATGCAAATCACTGTCTTTCTGTTTCATATTGACCTTAACTCCAAAGAAAATAAGCTTGGGTAGACGTTTAAAAAAAGCAAAAAGGCTTTCTGGTAAGAATTTCAGTAATTTTCAGGCAGGTTGGCACGTATGACAGATAAACTTGAAATTCTGGATACACTGAAGCCAAATTTCAACGGCATGAGCACTAGTCTGTCTTGGTTGAGGGCGACCCGGCTCAAGCACTGACGGTCTCATCTGGCTGTGGACACAGCCACGTGGTGAGGTTGATTTTCTCAAGGCGTTTCATAAAAATGACTAAGGAAAAAGCAATCAAATCTTAGTAGTTAAAATTCCTCTCAAGAATGAGTTCCTAACTTTATGGCTGATAATCCCATTTAGAAGTTTCTTAAAAATCTTTTTTCAGTTATTTTTATACTTTAAGAGATAATCTCTGTAAGAAAATTTTGGAGTTCAAATTGGATTCAGTGCTGAAGATGATTTTCAGAGAACTTCTCTGGAGAATTTTCATGTAAGGTGTTTTGGAATAAGTAATCCTTTCTTTCAGTCTTCTCTCAAAAGACGTCACATCAAGGAGGAGGGCAAAGTGGTGCCCCTTGGGGACGAGCACGGATCTTTTAGTCTAGTCACGTACCTTTAAGTGAGGAGACTAGGTTTTTGTCATAATTTTGGGAAGTGATTTGGCAATATTGGGAGATACTAAACAATGCTTTTAAAGGATATTTTAAACATATAAAATGTTAATTTTATTGTGATTCCTAACCCTTCATTGACACTATTTCAAGTTCTTTCAAGGGCCATGGTAACATTCTCTATAAGATTCTGAAGTAACAAGTAATTTCAAGTTAATAAATGTCATATGCCACTTTTTAAAGCAAAGAGGCAACTACTGGAAAAGGAAATACATGATGATCTGTCCTAAGCTCCTCAACATTCGGTATTTGAGACAAATATTTACTGAATACTTTGATCCACAGGTTTTCTAACATACCATATGCTTTTTTACCAACACAAAACGTCAAACTTACAACTTTTAGTTTTCTGATGGTTTCTGTCTGGTCTTCTATGATTTTGCACTTAATTTTTAATGCATCGTTGTCACGCTCGTTGGCCTTTCGCAGACATTCGTTCTCTTTACGTAAATTTTCAATTTCAGCCTCTAGTTTACCACGATTTTTGGCTAGACAAGATCCTAAGAAACAAAAATCACCAGTCACAAACTTAAAAAGAGCATGAGGCATCCGTATTTGAAGAACATCTGATTTACAATGTGTGATACAATACAAAAAAAGACAAAAACTGAATAAAAAAACGTAATACAGAGCAGCACAACATGAAGAGGAAAGGGGAAGACACAGAAGAGACTGCTAAACCCCTGTGGGCTGTTTGAAAACCTAAAACCACAAACCAAGAACAAGTAACCTGACACGTACTGCGTCATTGGTCAGATTACGGAATTCAAACAGGGCCATACAAAACGCTGCTACGTGGAAGGACACATGAGCAATGCTCCCTGACTGGCACCTAGCTGTTCACAGCTTGTACAGTGTCGGTCAAGGCCCAACAGTGTTCACCTTACTTTACAGTGATGGGAAGGGAAAGACACTGATGCAATTTACCGAAACCTAAAGTGGTTTTCACCCACACGCCATTTCACATTTCTCCATGATGCACAACCAGATCGATGCTACCAATATTTTTAGGAAAAATCCTGAAGGCTGCATACTGTACAAATAACCTAAAATCACTGCATAAGAAAGAATTAGTTTCAACAGCTCCTTCAGTTGTAGCTATGTAAAGGAATACCTGTTCAGAAGTAACCCAATTTTGCTGGGAAAAACTGACGACCAAGAATCAGACCTGTAACTTCACAGCTGATGTAACACTGCTTCCCGTTTCCCAAGAGGCATTTCGCTCCCGCGTGGCACACATGCCACCGGCGTGCGGGCACGTAAGCCCCTCCTTTTCTCTGCAGTATACGGATTTGCTGGTTTAGAATAATGGGCTACTTTCCCCTTGAAGAGTTGAGCATTTTACCCTGTTGTGCCAGCTCATGTCCCCATACTTTTCGTTCTGTCCTTAAACCGTAAATGAGTGATTCCTTGGCCGACAGCTCGGATATAAGCTGGACTTTTTCATGCTTGAGCAGCTCTATCTGAATGCTCTTCTGCTTGTCGTCTTCAATCAGAATTTCAAGGGTGTTCATTTGATTCTGTATACTCCCGAAAAACATTGAAAAAAGTGCAAAGTAATTATTATATTCAGTGCTTCTTTATTGTCTACGTTTTGTATTTTATACTGAAAAAAATGTTCTTTAAGCAAATACAAAGTAAATGCTGCTCAACTGTACATCAGGAAACTTTAACTAAACGTAGGTCAGGAAATAAAAAGTCACATTGGAAGAGGCTACTCCTTCAAACACAGAATTTTATTGTGATATCCTACAACAGCAACTGCACGTGTAATGCTCAAAATTTCTCACAAGCATTTAGATCAGTGGTCTAAAGGTCATTTGCTGGAAGCACGTTCTCTTGGGCACTATATCACTGGTGTTTAAAACTGAGACAGCAGCGATAAAGAAATGAACTGAAAAGGTACTACAGGCAGGTCCTGCTAAAAGACCAGCAGTACCACAAATTCACTGTCAGCAGTTCGCATGCTATTCCCTTCAGCTATTTGAGTATTGCTGTCAAATATTTGCTTTATCACTGTGCAAATGCCACCTATATTTACTTAGTATGTTTCTTAAAATTAATTCGTTTACTTTATTTAAATACTATTTTAGTGAAAGTAACACAACCTGGAAAATCATGGTTTAATCTCTTAGTAATACTACTTTTCTCATACACATCAAATACCAAGGGTGCCAAAAAACGTGCACACACGTTTTAAGGAAGGAAAACTATATTAAAATTGTAATACTCAGTATGTACCACTAACAAAAGATGAATACAAGTCACGTTTGACTTCAGCAATTACAAGAGGTGCCCAAAGTGGTTCCCATCAGCGCCCAGACACTTCTGATTACGGTGAACCACTGCTTGAGCAACGTTGATCCAAGTGTCCACTTGTATACATTTTTTTGGCAGCCCTGGTATTGAACTAGTTTTATTTAAAAGTTCATCACTGCGTATTTCCTAAAATCATTACAATGCACTTGAGAAAATGAGGTAAGAAATTAAAAAAAACCAAAACAATGTGACAACGTCTTACCTGTAAATTTGCGGCTGTTTCCTGTTTCAATTTGGAGACTTCCGCCAGCTTTGTTTTTTGTTCCTTCACCATACAGGACAGATCTTTAATTAAAGAGGAAGATTCGTTTTCTTTTCGTTGAGCCCAAACGAGAGCGTGCTTGCTCTTTGCCAACTCAGTGGCAATATTTTCAAAACCTTCTTTAACCTATATTTCAAAAATGCATTATAAATAGCAGTCCTCCAAACATTAGAAAACATTTCTGGAAACAGCTTACTTCTTTCATTTTTAGTGTCACAGAGACTCAAGATGCCCAGATGCAAAAGACTCAAATGCCCAGAGAACTGGTTTTGCACGCCAGGCCATACAGTCTAGGTTGCAATTCCCCAGGCCTGCTGTGGTGACAAAGGCCACCACCGACAGTCTATACAGCGAGCACGGTGGTGGTGACTACACTTTCCACAGAAGGGGCTGGGTCTGCGGCTCCCCGCCGATGGCAAGGGCTGCACCCGCCTTCCAAACCTGTTCTGGCGCCGTTACCTGGCCGCCTCGCTTTGCAGCAGCACGGATAGTAGCTACTCTTTATAGTACTACTATCAGGGAAGAAACCAAGGCTCTGAGAACTTAAGTCATCTGCTTAAAACCGTACAGCCAACATGTCACAGCGCTAGAATTCTAAATGCACTCCTCTCATCACTCCACACCTTGCTGGTTGTGTTTTTCAGTGAACAGCTAGAGGCCAATTCTTACATCTTTAAATCTCCTGGCTTCCACAGTTAACGCAATTCGAAATTCGTTTTCTAAGTCCAGGTACTGCTGGTTCAATGTGTCGATTTTTTCCTGGTACTGTTTTATCTCTTGCTCGTGCTTCGTCTCTTCCTTCGCTACCTCTTTGGCTAAGGCTTCCTGGAACTCAGCATCACTAAAAAACTCTCTTGTTTCAAGTTCTTTCCTGGAATGACAAACAAATAAAAATCACAGGACGCTGTTCACCTGGAAGGAAAAACTTTAAAGGTCTTTAAATAGTCATTAGTCTATACTCCCTTATGTTAATTTCAGATGGGAAGGGGGGTTATCACTTTGTGAGGGGTGTAAATATCTAACCATTACATTGTTTTGTACACCTGAAATAAAAATAAAAAAAAGGAAAAAAACTTGAAAATTTTTCAGATGCGCTCCTCACTTTCAATTACAGAAACTGGGTGCCGGACAGAGAGACAGCATGAGTTTGCTGGACTGTGTGGCCAGTGGGGGCGGGTGAGAGGGCTGAGCCGTCTCCTGGCTTCACTGGCGGCTCAGGATCATTCCAGGCCCTGGTCCACCTGCAGGCTCTGCCTCACCTCACCTTCTACTCCGGCTGAGCCTTTGACGCACAGCTAACAGTCTGACGGGTACTGGTGGTTGGTTAATAGAAAAAAAACCAGTTAAAGTATGAAATTATTCACCCATCTTTTCATAGAGGGCCAGATTTTTATTTAAATGTGAGCTCACTCCTTAGAGTTTCCACTATTTTTCTTGAATAAATCAAGCCCATAATACAAACTCCATTATTTCCACTTTTTGGTCTCTTTAAACTAGAACAAAAAGTTAAATGGTATCTATCTGTACAGGACACTACACACAAAATTTTAGATTTTTGTGATTATTTTCCCTCCGTTTTTGATAGCTGTACCGCCCACACATGTGCTGACAACTTTCCCCAGGGCATCAACCTTTCATTTATACCTCACCAATGTGGTTTATGTAAGGACCACCTGGCAGGGCACTGGGGAGGCCAGCGGCCGAGGGGCGCCGCAGAGCCGCCGACTCCCGCACGGACCACGCCTGGCCCGCCGCCCTGTGGAAATGAACCGGAGTGGGACGCGGCCACACCCGCTGGCGTGCGTGCTGCCTATGGCTCCTTCCGCACCCCCAACCCCTAAGCCACAATCCGGGGTGGCCTGCGAGGCCTCAACTCCGTGCTGTCTGGCCCTTCCCATCGGCACCTGCTTCAGAGGCATGAAGAACACCCACTGGCTGGTTTAACTAACAGTTTTCTGTGTATTACGATGGCTTTGGAGAAATGCAAAGCGAGCTTGGCTGTTGTAAGCAGACCCGTCAGCAAAGTCACTGCTTGTTTTCAAGCTGCCAGTCCTGCCGGCAGGCCGGCTGCAGTGCCCACAGCTGCTGCTCCTGTGGCTGGCGCTGCCAGGCTCACGCTCAGCCACCCGCGGGACTTTTCCTTCGAGTGGGGCGTGGGGAGGAGCTGAGAAGCGTGCTTTTCCTATTGTTCAGTGTCCCTTTTCCGGTATGTTCTCTCCTACCTGTGTTCCTGTTCTTTCAGGGCCAGCAGTTCATGAAGCTGCTGCACCTGCTCCTTCTCCTGCTGAAGCGAGGTCCTGAGCAAGTTTATTTCGCTGTCAGCAGCTGCAGCTTTCAGCTCCACCTCTTGGATTAGCCGCATCTGAGTAAGGACAGACAGACACCTACAGTATTTAGGTGATCATCTCGCCTGCCCGTCTCAAGACCAGCTCCCCAGAAAGTGCCTTCTAAGGAACAGAACCTAGTGACTAGGCTGATTTTCAAGTCCGCCATGTCCCATAAAGCACAGCCGGAAGCATCACACCCCAGCAAGCCCTGCTGCTTCCTGGCATCACAGGCTTTAGTAACTGCCACTCGGGAAGCGTGAAAATGAAAGGCCTTCAAACCTGGCTCTCAGAACACACGCCTACCACCGAGCCCTCATACGCCTGCTGGAACTGCCAGCGGCCTCAATGCAGACATAATCCCATGGCTTCCGTCGGTGTACACGTAAGCGCGTGTGTGCGGACAGCCTGGCACCTCTGCGCTTCCTGCAGCCGACGCCGTGGGGCTCGGACAGAAGCTGAGTGCTGGCTCCCGGGACTGACAGAGGAAGACACACCTGGGCCGCCTGCTGCTGTGCCTTCTGCCTCTCCATTTTCTCCAGGGATCTCTCCAGGGTTCTTAGGTGTCTGATGTGGTCCTCCTGTTGCTCTCTTGCTTTAATTAATTCAATAGTGAGTTTTTTAATTTCATTTTGAAGTTTGTGAACCATAATTTCGAGTTGAACTTTGGAATTTCTCTCCTTAAAAATGATTTCCTTTAGCCTAAAGCAGAAATCAAATTCGGCTTTTAAATGTATTTCGCATGCAAAAGGATAAGAGTTGTAGTCAACATCACAGGCTACAGTAGAGAGGAAGATTTAAGTATGTTTCAAACTCTCATTAGATTAAAAAATGGCTGAAAACCAGAATGTCATGTTTCTCTCCCACCCCTGAAACTGACGTGCACAAGAGGGAAGACACGCTACCTAATGAAGCAACTTCGTCTTGCGTGCGCTTCCCTGCGTCACAGCCCACCTGACTGCGCTCCTCCCTGCTTCTGGCATTGTGCTGCGTGTGGGCGAGAAGCCAGCAGGGCGAGCAAGCACAGCCTATGCCTTCCAGGGGCTCGGGCCCTCTTCTCTGACACTTATTCATCTGTCCGACACCTGCCAGCTTCAGGGTCTCCATACATGTAGCCTAAATTCCTTGATTATTTAACAAGCTGATGACTCATGAAATCTTTAGATAATGAGTTCCGGTGGAGCTGAAACCACACACTGAGCGCACCTTAGCTAGTTTAGGCAGAGGTGCTCCAGCTCCACGCTGTGTCTTGGCGCCACGCGGTGGCCACAGGCCTGCAGCCCCCTCCCTCACCTGTCTGTGGCCAGCAGGGCCAGGCACTGGCTGTCTTTCTTTTCATACACTTGTTTACGCAGCTCGTCAATATAGTCCAAAAGCTTCTTTTCAGCTTGTTCAGCTTTCCATCTCTTCTCTCTCTCCTGGTCTAGCTGTTCAACAAGTATCTGGAAGAAAACAATAGTGTTACGTGAACTTGAAAAAGTTACCTTGCCTCTCGCTACCTCAATTTTCTCATTTATCATATGGGAATAACAGCATCTTATTCAAAGGGCTGTGGGGAGAATTAAACAAAGTAATGGAGGTATACAGAACAGTGCCTGGCCCACAGGACTACTCAGCAAATGTCAGCCGCTATTATTGTCATAACGATAATTACTATTATTTTTCTCCATGGTAAAGCCTTTATACTTGAGAACAAAAGGAAACTAACAGCATAATAGGTGTGAACCAGTTTAAAAAGCAGTTATATTATTGGAACAGCAGTGCACAGCACAACCGAAACCAGCGCTTCACAAGTGAAACAAGGGTACGTTAATAAATCAGTGTGCTACAATTCTGAACAACACGGGAATGACTAAGGCAAACAGTGAAGCCCTTCTAAATTCTCAAATGCCTCTTCGTCTGGAGCCCATAGGTCCAAAATTGGGTTTCAGGAGAGTCCACGAAAACCCTGACATTACAACATCCTGTGAGTGTGTATGTGAGTACACTTCTCTGAGAAGACTCAGAGAGTTCCTTAGTTATAGGGTCTGAGGCCCAAATTAGGAACCACTGCTTTAAGACATAAGAATTTGAAAATGTAGGTCTGTTTCCTCCTCCACAAGGATTTAACATGATTTCACTGAAATCTGATCTTAAATAAATGTGTAATTCCCATTCTTTTAAAAATCACAAAAATAGTAACATCACATAAAATCTGGAAAGTAAAAACCGACCAATCTCATCACTCCAATAAAAATACACGCAAATATGTTTTGCTCGTAAAAAGGTGCACTGTTTTTCTGGGACTCACTCTGAACTTAAGAGCTACGCTATTCCCATTCATTGTTTCTCACTCGCGTCGGTCCTACCCGGTAAGTGTTGTCTTCCAAGCTGCTGTTGTCTACTTTGATTAGCTCCGTCTTTGGCCCTTCTGATTCTTCTGATATATTACAGTTCGCCAAAGATGACCTTACATATAAGTCTTTGAAGAAAGGTTGTTTCATTTTACGAGTACAGCTGCAAAGAATAAACACAGGAAATAACCGAGAGAAATGTACAGTGTTTGTGTTTTTCACAACTTAGATACTCAGTCTGTCAGAGACAGGGAACCTACTGTGTCTGTTTCTATAAATGTACTGACCAAGGCTGAGCTGACAAGGCTGGAAAGGCTGACATCAGAAAAGTAAAGAGATCCCCACGAGACAGCTTTAAGAGGACGCCAGCGGCACCATGTGTGGGCCTCACCTGAGTGTGTAAAACTGAAACAAGTACCTTATGAAAGGGTGGCTGTTCTTACTGTGGTGCTTAATAGTCTGAATAGTTTTGGAATAATAGGGGATTCTGGACCTCCGAGGAATTTTTCTATTACACTCTTTTCTGTTTCCCCAGTCACTTTCAGAAGTCACATCTGTGTCTCTTTTCGGCCTGAGGTCTTTCTCGGGAACATTATCTATTAAAGAACTAGAAGTCTAGAACAAAAAAACCAACAAAGCTTGTCAAAAGTTAGATTCAGTATAAAAGATTAAAATTTGAAATTTTGTAAACTACTATGACGTTTTACAAGAGAATAAGGGTTTATAAACTAGGTATGTTTGGAATTAAACGGTAAGTAAGCTCCTGCGTGGTTGACTCAGATAACAAGTATAAACTGTGTCAAAAATACAAATAAAAACAACAAACAAAATGTATTTGGGGGCCCTAGAAAATGAACAAAAGCAGGCTAATTCTAGAGAGGACTTGACACTTGAAAAAATAACCAAAATAGGGTGTTGACGGCTTTTAACGTGAAAGCGTATCACAAGGAGCACGATGTAAGGAGGTTTACAATTCAGGCAGAGAAACGAGGCTCTGGGACCTGGAGAGTCAGAGGGCAGAGCAGAAGGCAAGGGGCCGAGAGCGGCAGAAGGAACAGACTGCTGGCCAAGGGACAAAGTGGCAGTGTAAGTCAAAGCAAGTGAACTGCTTGCTACAGAAAACATCAACACTCCTTGGAGGCCTGCAACAGCATCTCAAGTCTCCATCACCTAACACTCACAATGTCCAGCATAAAACCCAAAATACTCCCCATCGAAAGAGCCGGGGAATGTGAGCTGCTCTCAAGAGAAAAGGCAATTGGTGGAGACCTAACCTAAGGACCCAAATGTTCAAGTAAGCAGACCAGGACTTTAAATTAGTGATCACAGCCGTGCTCAGTGATAGAGAAACATGCTTGTCATGAATAAAGACACAGGAAAATTCAGCAGAGAAACAGAAATTATTTTTAAAAGAGGAAATTTTACAACTGAAAAATATGATGTCTGAATTAAAAATTGACTAGCTAGGCTTAACAGAAGAATGGGGTGATAAAAAAAGAATAAGTGAACTTGAAGACAGGTTAGTGGAAATTATTCAATTTGAAGAATAGAGATAAAAAGCTGATAAATGCAGAGCGTCTCAGGAAATTAACTGTGGGACAATGTCAAAAGGTCTGAGTGGACTCTGAAAGCAGGCAGAGAAGAGAGAATGGAAGAAAAAATTTGAGAAGTGATGTCCAAATTATCCCCAAATGGGTAAAGAACATAAACTTATGGATTTAAAATGCTCAGAGAAAACTTAAGCAGGATAAATATGAAGAAAACCATCTTTCCCACAATGTAACCAAGCTGCTGAAA